GAGTCATTTCTCAGTTGATCAACGCTCCAGCCCCGGATCGCATGCCACGAGGCGAGCCTCCGCAGCCTGTTTTCCTCCGTCACCTTGTCAGGGCTGCACAAGACCAAGCCTTACACACAAATGCATGGTAGGCCTCCACCACCTCCAGAAGTTTTGGAACGCCCAGGTTTCCCTTTTCACTTCATTTTCCACACCATTATTGGCATTTTGGTCAGTTCAACTGGGAAACTGCTGCGTTGGTTCTGATTCACTGTCACGCAAGCACGGACCTTGATGTATGGCCAGAGGGAAAAATCACGTTTTTGTTCAGTTGTTGTGTCCACTCATCACTCACAAAAACCAGCGCAGTCTCAGAACAGTCCAGGCCATGTCGATCGTGGACCGCCTCGGACATTTCCATCGAAAAGTGTCTTTCAGAACTTTGCCCACCACCAGCAGGGACTGTGGTGTTGAACATGTTGTGAACCTTGCTGCGGCGTGACGTTCTTCCGCCTGCATGAGAGGGTGCTTGGATTGGTCCTCAAAAATCATTGTTTTCGATCTGTTTGACGATGTAGTGCAGCTTGGAATGCCCTGTGTGGTTCCAGAAAGAATTGGAACAGCAGCAATTTGACGTCTGGGTCATGCATTGTCAGGAGGCCATTGTGCAAGAGCTTCGCGTTTCGCCTCCAAATTTTTTTGGACCGCCAACATTCACCGCTGCAACAAGGTTGCCGTTCGCCACAAATTGTTTTCAACCAACCCTGTTCATGAGCACTGCGCACCACACTCAGTGACCTTGTCAGCATTGTGCTGCAGCCACATCTCTTGGTTTTCTTGCACTATGGAAGTTTGTCAGCAATTTGATGGAAGACTGGAAGGTTAGTTACGGCTGATCATGACCTTGAAGCTTTGTTTTTCTTTTTTCTGTTTTTGACCCCCTGTGTACAGTGTTTTTCGTTCTTTTTCACGTTGCAGTCCTTTTTCCCGAATGCGTAGCGAAGGGTTCTCGTTTAACTCTTGGGGGTCTGGGGGTGGAGCCTTGTTCGTGACCCGTTGTTTCTACGTCCGCAACCGTCCGCAACCATCCGCAACCGTTCGCAACCGTTCGCGGTAGAGTGCTAAGGCGCTGCCATTGGGGGAAGCTTTTGCAAGTGACTTTTCATGGATGTGTCACGTGTCAGTTTGCGCCGCTATTCCATTGTGATTTGCATGAAAAAGACATGTCGTGCAAGCAACGTGATGCGTTTCGCTGCACAGGCGCAGCGTTTGGTGAGATCTGCAGATTGCTGCGCAGTTCCATTGGGATTAGCGTTTGGAGAGCGTGTTTTTGGGGTGTTGGATGTGGCCGTGCCATTGGGATTTGCGTTTCAGGGTGTGGCATCGAAGCTCTGTTTTCGTGACAAGTCTCAGCTGAAATGCCGATTTTGGTGGATGGGAGTGTGCTCAGAACGGGTCGAAATCATTCCAAACGTGTGGTGTGGTGCAAATTTTGTTGAAGATCACATGAGACGACATTGTTACTTTTCGTGGCAGGCGCAGGACTTTGTGCGGGTTTTGAGGTGTGGAAGTGGGATTTTCGTGGCAGGCGCAGGGAATCGTGAGGTTGCGATGTGTGACGGAGGTGACATTTCGTGGCAGGCGCAGTACTTTGTGCGCGTTAGACGTGTGGACGGAAAGATTCGTGGCAGGCGCAGGGAATCGGGAGGTTGTGAGTTGTGGTAGAGGTGAATGTCGCTGTCGCATTGGGATTGGCGTGTGAGCGGGCGTCGTTTGGAGGGGCTGGAATCGCGAAACTGCTTGGCAGGGCTGCGTGATGTGTGTGCTCCGATGGGTGTTTCCGCTGGACTTTTGGAGGAAGTCTCATGCGAAACGTTCGTTTTGCAGACTTTGACATGTGAGTTTTTGAGGAAGTCTCGTACGAAACGCTCGTTTTGGAGACTTGACGTGTGACTTTTGGAGGAAGTCTCGTACGAAACGCTCGTCTTGCAGCCTCGCAGCGTGACTTTTGGAGGAAGTCTCGTACGAAGAGTGTGCCCCACAGGAGTGTCCCACAAGAGTGTCCCACAAGAGTGTCCCGTATGAGTGTCCCACAAGAGTGTCCCACAAGAGTGTCCCGCATGTCCCACAAGAGTGTCCTACAAGAGTGTCCCACAAGAGTGTCCCGTATGAGTGTCCCACAAGAGTGTCCCACAAGAGTGTCCCACAAGTGTGTCCCACAAGAGTGTCCGACAAGAGTGTCCCATAAGAGTGACCCACAAGAGTGTCCTACAAGAGTGTGCAACAAGAGTGTCCCGTAAGAGTGTCCTACAAGAGTGTCCCACGAGAGTGTCCCACGAGAGTGTCCTACAAGAGTGTCCCGTAAGAGTGTCTCACAAGAGTGTCCCACAAGAGTGTCCCGCAACCATGTCCCACAAGAGTGTCTCACAAGAGTTAAGAGTGTCCCGCAAGAGTGTCCTATAAGAGTGTCCCACAAGAGTGTCCCACAAGAGTGCCCTACAAGAGTGTCCCACAAGAGTGTCCTACAAGAGTGTCCCACAAGAGTGTCCTACAAGAGTATCCCACAAGGGTTTCCTACAAGAGTGTCCTATAAGAGTATCCCACAAGAGTGTCCCACAAGAGTGTCCTACAAGAGTGTCCCACAAGAGTGTCCCGCAAGAGTGTCCCAAATGAGTGTCCCGCAACAGTGTCCCGCAAGAGTGTCTCACAAGAGTGTCCCTTAAGAGTGTCCCACAAGAGTGTCCCGCAACAGTGTCCCACAAGAGTGTGTCCCACAAGAGTGTCCCACAAGAGTATCCCACAAGACTCTCCTACACACGTCTCCCACAAGAGTGTCCCACAAGAGTTTCCTACAAGAGTGTCCCACAAGAGTGTCCCACAAGAGTGCCCTACAAGAGTGTCCCACAAGAGTGTCCCACAAGAGTGTCCCACAAGAGTGTCCACAAAAGTGTCCCACAAGAGTGTCCTGCAAGAGTGTCCCACAAGAGTGTCCCACAAGAGTGTCCCCAATGAGTGTCCCACAGGAGTGTCCCACAAGAGTGTCCCACAAGAGTGTCCCACAAGAGTGCCCTACAAGAGTGTCCCACAAGAGTGTCCTACAAGAGTATCCCACAAGGGTTTCCTACAAGAGTGTCCTATAAGAGTGTCCCACAAGAGTGTCAGGAGTATCCCACAAGAGTGTCCTACAAGAGTGTCCCACAAGAGTTTCCTACGTGAGTGTCCCGCAAGAGTGTCCCACAAGAGTGTCCCACAAGAGTGTCCCGTAAGAGTGTCCCACAAGAGTTTCCTACAAGAGTGACCCACAAGAGTGTCCCACAAGAGTGTCCTACAAGAGTGTCATTTGGGCATATGTAGCTTTTTGAACGTGTTTGCATTCGGGTTCGTGGGCTCCATCTTGTTTTCTCTTTGTGGTTTGGCTCAAAAACGCGCACAAAATCAAACAACTTGGAACCTCTTTGCTGTTCTTCTTTCTGCTCCCCGCAACACATTTGGCACATCGTGTTGCAACCTCTTGTTTTGCCTTGGAGAGAACCTTGCACTCGGATTCAGTCAACAGCCTGGCTGCACTGCTTGCCAACTGCCGAGGCACAAAAGGCCAGGTGCTGCGGTGCAAGTTTTGTTCGTATTGGCCAGCTGCCCTGAAGTGTTTTCCTTGCAAAACCATTGCGGTTCAACATCAGAGCCAGCCGTACTCTTCAATTCATCTCTAGTGATCTTCTTGTGGTGAACCTCAAGTCCATCTCTTCAGTTCACTTTTCGGCAGGTGAGATGGCGGCTGATGTTTGAAAAAAGTGAAAAATCTCTGATACACGCAAATTTGCCACTCATTGTCTCCAAAAAACCTTCGTGAGGTGTTTCACAACGTCGTGTTGGGTTCCGCATACTGTGCCTTTCCACTTCAGCTGCAATGGCCGGGGAGCGTTGAAACATATGCATGCAAGGTGTGTTGTTGTTGTTGTTGTTGTTGTTGTTGTTGTTGTTGACTTTGTCTCTATTTTGTGACAACGTGTGTGGATCCCGCATTCTTTTGCTTGTCGCATCGTCTGCAAGTGTGTGCACCAACCCTTGTGGACAGCGTCAATCATCCCGCTCCCCAGCGACACGCCGTGTTCACACACGCATTTGTTTCCAATGGCACGGAGCAACGCGAACACACTTTTCAAGGCCGTGCAAAGCCGCATGGCACAGCGACGTCGCAAACGTATTTTCGTCACACAGTACCACAGAGTGCCCAGATGCAACAATGCAACACCGCGCTTCGTTGACATCCCCAACCATCCTGCTTTCCAGCGACACGCCATGTTTACGCCCGCATGATTCCCCCAATGGCAGGGACTCACACGATTCAACCGAGGCTGCGAAAATCCGCATGGGACAGCGACATCTCAGACAAAGCTTCGCCGACTGTCTGCAGACCCTAAGATGATCTCTGCAGCCAAAAGCCATGGGTTGTAGTCGATGGGTTGTGACATGTGAATGTGTTGAATGCCCGCATGACGCAGGCCCAAGACAACTTAAGGACAGCTCATGGTCAGGTAAATCATGAAAGGCAGCACAGGCAGGCGTTGGCTCCACATGTTGCATGTTGTGTGTAGTCCAGAACATCATTTGTCTTCGAAACGTTGTTTGAATAACGCTGTCATGTTTTGGTTTATTCAGTTGCAAAGTCACAGAGGAGATGGTTAATCGGCAACCCCGTGCTTTTTGTTTTGTGAGAAGAACCAAGTAATTGTCTATAGTCAAACAAGGGCATTAGCATGGTTCATTGTTCAGAAATTGTGGTTGAAGAGCAAAGTCTTGCAACGCTAAGATGGGTATGATGTGTTAGGCACGCATCTACCCAAGCAGGCGTTTCAATTTTTGTTTCTTTTTTCTCCACACCTTGAAAAGCGAACGGTAGACTTTCCAGTACAAGAACCCGTCTCAATCCAGGCTTTTGAGCGGATTCTCCATTGAATGCCCAAAATGTTCAAGTTTTTTAGTTTCAAAGCGTTTGAACAGAACACATTGCAGAACTGTCGTGGGGATCTTCTTCTTCACAAAGTCTCGCCTTTTCGTGCTCTTTCTGATGGCGAGCTGCTTTTCTGCCTGCTGGCCATGGGCCAAGAGGCCTGCGTCAGGCCAAGATCGGCGGTTCGGACAAGTCCCGTGTCCCGGATGGGTCCGGCTTCCGGAGAGGTTGGGGAAGTCCCTGTAAACCGGGGATGTCGGTGGTGTCGAAATCAAAGCAAACTCCAAAGGCTAGAGGAAAGAGTAGATGAAGACCCCCTTGGTTGGGTATCCGGCCTTGAGGACATACCCGCATGGATCACCACCTGAACTGACCTGCATTGTTTGGATTTTGTTTGTTTGTTTGTTTGTTTGTTTTTCTCTTTATATAGTTTGCTTATATATACCAAGAAACAAGATCAGTTTCCGCCGCAAGAGCATTTGAAGGAATTTTGATGGATGTTTTTGAACATCGAAAATTCCAAAGTAGGGATCTGCAGGTCAAATCGAGTTCTAGCAAAACCTGGGTTTGCTTGTGTGGAACCATACTTGGCTGGATTGCTCGACTTCTTCAAAAGAAAGGATGTTTTGCTGGCAGATTCACAGGAGGGACAACTAGCTACATATGTTCCAAACTGGGTTCCATTGGTTTCAGAAAGTCTGGGTGAAACAATGGTATGTATAATACATCAAGGTCAATCCAGGTATTTTTCTGTTTAAGGTTCACTTGAATACTCTATGCTTGTAGAGTCTTGGTTTGCTCTCGAAGTGACCACGCCACGCGACAGCTCAACGGCGGACCTCAACTGATTCCAGAGGGATGCTGGGCAGACATAGCGACGCCGGCCTTCTGAAAGAGGACTCGATCTAGGACGAAAGAGATGTTGTTTTGAATTCTGATTTCCTATACTTAAGTATATTATATATACTAGTTACTATATTTTCATTCTGAAAGGGTCTCCTTCTCCAAGTATTTTTTGGCGGCTCTACCATGAGTTGGTGGAACCCACCACCCAACATCGACGCCTTATTTCAATCATTTGGAGCCAGTACATTGCCAGTAAGCCACGGGTCAGGAGGCTTTTTTGAAAAACGCTCGACGATGGTGACGATTTTGCTGAGGAAAGGATCGAACCGGCAGAGCTTCTTTAATCTCTCACACACCAAGAAAACGGAGGCCCGTCTCTTTCTTTCTTTCGTTCGTTGGTTTCTTCCTTCCTTGATTGAATGCTAAGACTCGAAACGCTCATGTTACCGTTGTGCCAGGGGAACAAGTCAAATGCCATACCGCGCCTGGGCAGATTTTTTGTAGGGTCCTTGGGTTCACCCATGGTTGTATGTGGTGAAGACCACTGACAGGAGATGGCTTGGAACGATGCAGCAGGGGCTCCTGAGTTTGAGTGTCCAAAAATCGGCCTTCTTCGAACCCCTGCGTTTTTTTGCTAGAGAAGGGAAAGCTGCGCCAGCAGTTACGCACATGTTCATCTTACATGTGTGTATATGTATATATATATATATGTACAATGCATATATTCAGTTCCCATGTTTTGCTGTCAGGGAGGGATAAGGGTGGGGCCAGGATGATAGCGTTCCTGTTCATAGCTACGGAGTTGATGTTCTGGATGATATGAATTTTTGCTGAGGTGAGAATGTAGCTTTTGAAACATATATACAACTCAATTCATTTTCGCGCGGAAATCCGCCACAATGATTTTGCCAAAATGACCAATGACTCATCCGTGTTAAGTTCGGATCTCCGAACTTGGTTCTTCGAAAAGACTCCTCAGTCCGCTCAGGGCATGAGGAGGTCGATTCCTTCTCAGTTGTCCTTTCAGCTCCCTGTTTCTGCCGCAAGAAGCCAAGGCCGAACAGAGCGGCCACCACATTTTCCTGAAGTTGTTGGAGTGCGTGCCAAGAGAAAGGGACCCAGCATCCTCCAACAGGTCTCCTTTAGAGGGGGCCCCCCAACTCAATTGGTGACAGTGAGGATGCTGGTACCTGGCCGGTACCTGGCCCAATTGACATTCTGCGAATTCTCTTTCTTCCAAAATCACCCACTCCACCGGGTCGACCTGTTGCTCCGTCGACCAACGTTCGACACGGTCGCCGGAAACGCACGAGGAAGGGCCCCTCGGTCCTGGACAAGGTGCTGCGGGTGGTGGGCTCAAGGAAGGAGGAGCCCTTGGCCGCCATGAGCGAGTGGATGGAAAAGACGGCGGACCCGCAGGCGGGGCCCGGCGGGCGGGGCCCGGCGGGCGACTCTAGAACGCTGAACATTCATGTAGACTCTTGATGGGATTACAAGATCCCCAACCCTCAAGAGGTTTTACAATCCATGTCTAGGGGGGTTGAAATATCATCAAGAGTCCGCTTTAAAAAAATCCGGGAGGTGGAGCGGGGGGGCAAAGCCATGCGGCAAGGTGTTCACCGGCACTTTGATGTTTCTTGTTTCTATTTTTACTTTTATGGGAGGGGTAGGCCGCTAGGAGGCTAGGTAGCTAGGTAGCTAGTAGAAGAGGTAGCGAGGTAGCTACTACCTGCAAGTAGCTACAGTATGGATGCAGGATAGCTCACGCTTCTTCAAGGAAGCTCCCCCAGCTGCCTTGAAGAAGCGATCACACTAATGATTTGGTTCCTAGATCTTTAGAGAAACTTGACTAATAGCAATGGCCTGGGGTATCTTTGGTGTTCTTGAGTGATGGGCAATTTTCGTCAGTGATGAGTGATGAGCTCCACGAGCTCTCAGTTCTGTTCTTCATTTTAACCTGAAACAATATGTGATTGCTCCCTGCCTTGAGTGACCATTATTGTATACTTGGAATCGAACCCTCACTGCAGGCGGATTCTAGCGTTTGGCAAATGCCCGTTTAATGTGACGTACACTCTTTGTCGCCCCGAATTGGGATTGTCCTTTCACTTTACTCTCATTTAGACATCTACATCTCTTTAATCTCTTTATATACACACGATGATGAGAGTAAAGCAAATCCACCGGCATATTTTTATGTAATTGTTTCTTCGGTTTATAGATTTATACAACAATACCAGGGAGATTATTGGATTGTCGCTTTTCAGCTGGAAAGTGTTCTAAAGGAATTTGGCGAGACTCCAAACGCCAGCGACCGGACCATTTAGCTCCCAAACGCATTTCCTCGTTTGGTCGTTCCACTGGTCCAAAACCCCAGCATCACCCTCTGGCCATGTAAAGACGAAACCTGCGGACGAAACGAAAAGCGAACCGCCTTTGAGGCGAGTCGGTGTTGGCCAGGTAGTCTCCAGAGAGGCCATAATCTTGGTCTTGGTCGGTCTACCTGCGCGTGGGAAGTCCTTCATCTGTGGCGCAGTGGTGAGGCCCCACTGCTACGGGAGAGGGTAGTGGTTGGAATAGTCAAATTTTAATAGTGACTTTTTATGTTGTTTGACACTTTCCAAGTCAACATGCAAGCTTTTCTTGGTCTCTCCTTTGGAACGAATAGAGATTTGGGTCCATCTCAGGAGGAACAAGGGCTGGCAGTGACAGCCGTGGACGCTCTATCCGCTCTTTCTTCACCTCCTTGCCTCCTCCGGGTATGTGTGTCCTGCTTGTCCATGTTGTCGGCCCTATTATCAACGCCTTGTCCGGGCCTTGTCCCCTGCTTGGCCACGCTGTTTTTCCTTTCTCATCTTTCTCCACCGCCTTGTCTGGGTTTGTTTTCTTCTTGCGGCTATGAATGCAACAGTGATGAGTGATGCTGCCTGTTCCCGCAAAAATGGTTTTGTTTACACCCCTTTTGGACGCTAGACAAACAATTACAGACGTTTCTACCAACATTGGAATTCAAGGAATTGGCCCCAAGAACCTTGCAACACCCGTTTGGGGTCTCTGGGCCTCCGGCATGAAAAAACCGACGGTGGACTGGACGAGGATGGACGTGCGGGTGCGGAATTTCAGCATGAATGAATAATGAATCATGAATAATGCTCCTAGTAGCGATGCCAGGAGCCCCTAGTAGCGTCCTTGCTCCCAGTAGTAAGGCCAGGAGCCCCTAGTAGCTTCTTGTTCCTAGGCACCTGAAGTTGTTGGGCGTGCGGGTGCGGAGCTTCAATGCTGGTGAGCTAAGACGGGAGACTGGGAAGGCTGGCATCGAGGCGCTGTGGGCGGGGTTGGTGCTGAAGATGGGAGTGTATTGGGGTACAGTGATTTGGGTATGTATTATAAGAGATAGGAAGACTTCAGGGGGTCGAACTGGGAGGTCGGCCTATTTTAATGCACACTCATTTCTGGCGAGTTGGGGCGAAAAAGTGTAGCCTGAGAGGGTGGAGCATTCTGGTGGCCAATGGTCAGCTTTGGAGTGTGGCAGGGGAGGAGGTCCCAAGTCTGTAGGATCGAAGCCTTTCTTTGGGGCAGGAAGAAGGATCGAAGCCTTTCTTTGGGGCAGGAAGAAGGAATCGTGATCCCTCCAGTGGTCAAAGATCTCCTCCAGCCACGAGCACCAGGAGATTGGACAATTATTGGATCTGTTGGGTTGTATATCTGGGTTATCTCCAATCAATCTTGTTGGTCTTGCTTTGTGTCAACTGGAATGACTCATCTACAAGAAGTGCATGGAAGGGTCCTGGACCACTGCACCCTCACAGCGTGGTCCGACCCATCGTGTGTCAAAATTGGCAAAACGTGGCACCTCGAACGAAGAAAAACCAATGGGTGGGTGACACGCATTTTGATGGCCCTTTAGGGCCTGGCAGCCCGGTGATGCTCCGACGGTCCGGACAGCTCGCTAAAAATTGAAGCCGCCAATCGTCTGGCTCACCAGTGATGCCGTGCACTGAATTGCTGCCCGTAGCCTCTCTGCGCATTACACTGTATTCAAAACACCCACACCTGTTTTTGAGCTTGCAGCTCACAGCTTAAGCACTATGTTTGCGCAACAAAGCATCCAGTTCTGAGGCACAGCTCCCAGGAGCCTCACCGTGTACAATTTCACATTTGTGCTTCCCAAATGTCAACTTCCAACAACTGTTCTTTAAACAATCCAGCTTCCATTTGTGATGACAGTTTTACACACTGGCATCCTAGAATTCCTTTCTGGACAACTTTGCAATGCCCAACACCGATTGTTGACCACAGTTTGACACTTTGGTTTTCAGGACAGCTTTGACACCCTCCCTTCGGTTCGGATCTGGTGGTGCGTTGAAATTGGGAGGCCGACTTCTTTTCCTCCTCCAATCTGGAGGCCTTTAAGGCTGGCTCGCGCCGAGCCGGCCGACTCTTCTGGAGTTGGGGGGTGAAATCGTGAAACCCAGGCACTATATGTTTTGGCATGGAGTACTCTGGAACTCACATGGAAGTGGCTTCGCCTGCCGTGCCGTTTGGTATGCGGAACATGGGACAATCCCAGTCTTCGGGCCCATGCCATCCATTTCCAGTTCCCGGGTACTCCAAGTCCGACATGACAATCGCCACCTGGACGAGTGGCGTTGGATGAGCCGATCGGACTACTTGGACTGCTGAAAAAACGCTTTAGGATGCTTTACGGCTCTCCCAAGTGAGAAATCGAAGTGGGACAGATTTGCCGTGGCCCGTGGTTGGTGGAGTTTTGGTTAGAGTAAAAGGCCGCATAAGTGGGAAGAACAGAGGTGTCAAGACTGGAGCTCAATACTTGAAGATTTCAATTTCAACTATAATTGGTCACTGGGTACTCTATTTTTTCCCGAATGCGTAGCGAAGGGTTCTCGTTTAACTCTGGGGGTCTGGGGGTAGAGCCTTGTTCGCGACCCGTTGTTTCTATGTTCGCAATCGTCCGCAACCGTTCGCAACCGTTCGCAACCGTCCGCAACCGTCCGCAACCGTTCGCAGGTGTCCGCAGTAGAGCGCTAAGGCGCTGCCATTGGGGGAAGCTTTTGCAAGTGACTTTTCATGGATGTGTCACGTGTCAGTTTACGACGCTATTCCATTGTGATTTGCATGAAAATGACATGTCGCGCAAGAAGCGTGATGCATTTCGCTGCACAGGCGCAGCGTTTTGTGAGATCCGCAGTTTGCTACGCAGTTCCATTGAGATTAGCGTTTGGAGAGTCGTGTTTTTGGGGTGTTGGATGTGGCCGTGCCATGGGGATTTGCGTTTCAGGGTGTGGCATCGAAGCTCTGTTTTCGTGACAAGTCTCAGCTGAAGTGCCGATTTTGGTGGATGGGAGTGTGCTCAGAACGGGTCGAAATCATTCCAAACGTGTGGTGTGGTGCAAATTTTGTTGAAGCTGACATGAGATGATATTGTCACTTTTCGTGGCAGGCGCAGTACTTTGTGTGGGTTTTGAGGCGTGGAAGTGCGATTCTCGTGGCAGGCGCAGGGAATGGTGAGGTTGCGAGGTGTGACGGAGGTGACATTTCGTGGCAGGCGCAGTACTTTGTGCGCGTTAGACGTGTGGATGCGGAAAGATTCGTGGCAGGCGCAGGGAATTGTGAGGTTGTGAGTTGTGGTAGAGGTGAATGTCGCTGTCACAGTGGATTGGCGTGTGAACGGGTGTTGTTTGGAGGGGCTGGACTCGCGAAACTGCTTGGCAGGGCTGCGTGATGTGTGTGTGCTCCGATGGGTGTTTCCGCTTGACTTTTGGAGGAAGTCTCGTACGACATGCTCGTTTTGCAGACTTTGACATGTGAATTTTGGAGGAAATCTCGTACGACATGCTCGTTTTGCAGACTTTGACATGTGAATTTTGGAGGAAGTCTCGTACGAAACGCTCGTTTTGGAGACTTGACACGTGACTTTTGGAGGAAGTCTCGTACGAAACGCTCGTTTTGGAGACTTGACATGTGATCGCCTTCCCTTTGGCATTTCGAGATCGCCCGGTGCATTACCCTCCATGCGACCACATTAAGTGGCAAGAGGGAAGGATTCGGCTTTTCAGAGCGGCTTGGGAGTCTGGACCTGCACCGACTCATGGATGGCTCATTGATGCCAAAGCTCAACAATTGCAGTTTGGGTTTGTAGTTGATGCTACGCTCGAGTCTGTCGGTTTGGTGTTCCGTCGACCTGGACCACCCAATCCCGAGGGCAATGTTGCAATTTGCGAACTCTTTTGTGGAGGTTTCGCCGGCTGGGCGCAGGCTGCGGCTTTTTTGAATGAACATGAGTTACCAGTTAGGCCAGTATTCGCTCTCGATCGAGATTGTGAGTCAGCTGAGATTTATGCGATCAACCATGCACCTTCACGCCGAGTCTGTCGCCGCCCCCCTGGAAGCCGTGCAGTCTTTGCAAGATAACACTCTCAGTCCCACAGAGCCCATGGTGTGCCAGTGCGACGTTAGAGAAGGGTGGTGGTTGCAGTTCACTCCAGTTGTTGACGTTGTCACAATGTCCCCCCCGTGCCCAGCCTGGAGCTCAGCACATGTGGCTTATGGGCTGACACGACCTGATGGCTTTGACACCGTGGAGGGTCTCTTCAAAGCCAGATTGCTATCTCCCCGTGCTATTGCATTTGAGAATGTTAAGAACATGCAATCCCACGCACATTTTCCAGTGCTTGAGGAGGTCATCCGATGGCTCGGTCTTCGTGTTAAGTGGGCTAGTGTGGTGAACCTTGCCGATGTCTTGCCGCAGGCTCGTGAGCGATTGCTAATGACTCTAATCCCAGCTGATGGTGATGTCAAACCTACCTTCCAATTTACATCATGGAGGGCCCGTGATCACTTGAGTCTGCAGACCTCAGACATTTTGCGCACAGCCGGATGTTTGTCACACACCATTTCGCCCCCGCTTGATGCTGAAATTCTTCGGATGTATCTCCACCCGCAATATGTGCCGGGTGATCGGTGTGGTGATTTCAAGACTGCAAAAACGTATCGGCTTAAGAACGAGCAGAATACGTGTGCCTGTGTCCTGGCCCATTACGGATTTGCTCATGAACTTGGTGAGGAGGTGAGAAGCAAGAACGGACTTTTTGGAAGCCTTCTAATCTTGAATGATGAAATCCGGTGGTTCAGTCTTCCCGAATTATGCAGTTTGATGGGTCTCCTTCGTCCTTGGACCGCTCCGAGTGATGCACGCATATCATACCATATGGTAGGAAACGCTATTGCTGTGCCGCATGCTCTTTTGTGCCTTGTCAATACTATAGGTCAAATGCAGCGTGCTCCTTGGATGAGTACACCCGTTGACATCGTCGATCGAGCTCTAGACCTTAGCCTCACAGCTTCGCGACAAGAAGTTCTCCTGTGGAGGGATCAAGGCAAGATTCACATCGATCGGTTTGCCGTGTCTCCGACGCTGCAGTGGTCTTGTGACACTCCACGGTTTGCTCTGTGGAAAATCCCTTGTGGCCCGAATTTCCAGCACATACTTGTTCAACCAGGTCTGCAGACGGCTCGTGTTATCCGTTCTATTTTCCCGCATGCCACAGGTGCTTCGTTGGGGTGGAGGCCGGCCAGGTTCTCAGATGTTCAGATTCCTCTGACGGTGTCAGATCAGTCGGGGTTTGATACCATGGCATTCGATGGTCTTTTCGGACATTTTTCCATTCAAGAGAGCGATTTTGTCCGTTTCAGTCGTCCTTTTGTCTTGGTTTTCACTCCTGACCAGATTTTTGTCATGAGCAAGCAGTCAGGTACTAAGATCCATGAGATCCACCATCAGCTGCTAGATTATTTGTCCATGGATGATGCAGCATGTGACATTTGGGGGACCCCAGCCAGGCCTGATTCGTTATGTCCAGACGCTATTTGCTTCATGTCTCCGATTAAAGACACACCTCCATCGGACTTTCTGAGCAGCTTATTTTGGCACCGTGAGGAGTCTTGCCGTTACGTGGAGGCGGAGTACTCCGTGCTCTTTGCCTATATCCGTTTCGCTCAAGACACAGGACTTGCATCGATGATCGAGTGCCTTGGATGGTCCATGTCCATAGTACCAGCATCCGATGTCCGCCGTCCTCTCCCACGCCTATTATGGCAGCCAAAACCTAATAGGCCTGCCGTCCATGCTGATGTCTTTGACACCTCTTTCACCACGAGACTTGCACAGGCCCTCTTTCCACAAGATATCCCAAGTTGGGAGGCTGTCCACATTTGTGTCAAATTCTGGTCTCTGTGGCAGCCGGTGAGGACACTCAAGAGAAGCACCAAGGTGGAGGACATTCTAAGACCATGGTCCATTGCATCTCGTCATGTGGGCAAACCATCCCATCTTCGGGCCATTTGTCGTGGACTAAGACTTTCGAATGAGCAAACATTGTCTTCATACCTTCCGACTTTAGATTCTCGTGAGGTCATGAGGGTGCATTTTGTACTTGAACTGCAAGGGGGAGGGAACAAGCTCGAGGCGCACCAGAAACTTCGCCAGTCCACTGTAGAGTTTTTACTTCAGTCTGGGGCTGATCCAACCTCCGTAAATGCATTTACTAAGGACTTGTACGAGAAGGCTGGTTTTGCACGCCTGCAGCACACCATGCAGTTTCGAGACCCCGAAGAGAGACTATCTCAGTTGCTAAGACTTGCCAAATCCATGCACGTTCGTCCCATTGCCATCGAGTCTCCGGACTCTGAACGTCTTAAGAAGCTCAAAACATGGAAGCCGAGGCACATGCCTTCTTTTGCGACAGTACATGCAGCGGACTTTCGGATCCATCCAGAAGCTTTTGTGAAGTCAAATAACCAGCCGGCCCCTATTTTGGGAAGTCCTGAGGCCACCAAGGACGGTGTGATCCTCCTTGATGCTGAGTGCGCCACTGACTTTGCTAAGTCCCTCAAGCCACAGCCAGACAGTCTGGCCATTGCTGTCGTTGGTCGTGAGTGCACTCTCGGTCCTGAGGGGTGTCAATCCATCAACTTGCCTGTTCTTGATCGCCATGACGCACAAGTTATCATCAAGGCATGCCTGCACCAGTGTGGTAAAAATAAGATTACCTTGAAGACCAAAGCAGGTGATGATATCCCAATTGAAGACTCTAAACTTGTCGCTGTGACAGCCTGGCGCAACGAACTCTCGAGTGATTCCTGGTCTTCCTTGGTGCAGAGTCCTGCTAAGTTCTGTGCAACGCAGTTGTCCATTACGCCATCGGAACACTACAGTGTGTCGCCTTGGGGTCGAGTCTTCAGAGATGAAGGGACTGTCTGCGAACCGGACTCCGCAAGTTCATTCCAATACCATGTGCGCATTAAGACCACTGGCCTTAACGCCATTCTCAAGCGTAGTGGTTTTGATGGCATCTATGTCACTCCGAAATCGGAGACTCTTAACAGAGCAGATGA